AGAGTGCTTTCTGCTCGTGAGTTTAAATAAAAGTTGATAATCCAAACCTGTCTTTTTTTTAAAAAAAACGCACACACACATAAAGACACTTGTCTAACTGCAGGTACAGTTTGACACAGATTTGGAGTTTATTCACACATCACAAACTACAGTGGGTAATGTATTCAGGAAACAATGAACAGCGCTGCCATAAATGACACAGAAAAAAAAAGAAAAGAAAAAAGAATCTGAACTCTTTCTTTGCCTTTATATAAAAATAGTGTTGCTACAAAAGTATAAATTAGGCTTACTAATAAGACAACTGAGATCTGACTCTACACAGGAAACTGTCAAAGTGCGATAAAAAAGATAAAATGAAAAGAATCAGATTGTTTTTTTTTATCATTTTTTTTCCTTTGAATTTTAGCCGAGTATAAAAGGAAAAAAGAGGATGAAAGCAACACTAACGCATTGACCTGAATTAATAATACAGACTATAATCCAGAGTTTAACAGATCTCCGTGATAGCATCCTAATACCGTACTTTACAAGCAAATTTATTATCTGAATAAGTTAAAATCCTGAAACAAATAAAACTTACAGCTGATTTCTCATAACAGTATCTAAGTTGAGTATTTTTTTCTATATCAAAACCTTTTTGAAATGCTACTGTAGAAAAAAGAGGTATAATGTTATCGGTGCTCCCTACTGAATCTCTGAAATGAAGGCGCCCCCTTGTGGCATAAAAACAGCAGTTCTCTTGTATTTACATACATAATACATCTTTTTTTTGAAAATGGGTGACGTCAGCCAAGCCCATGATCAATGTGGCTAACTCCATGAAAGGTTAACACGGAGTCCTAAGGTAACGTGTACTGAGAGCCCACGTGATTCACTTCCCTCTGATAAGAAACACTGTCTTATAACTTTATATACTGGTACTCTTATTAAAAGCATGCATATCTTAGATTGAGTTTTTCCTTTAGTTAACAAAAACATGTGTTTTTTTTCTTTCTAGGTTAAAATTACGTTGACACCATTTGTCAACAATGGCATTGTGTCCCAGAGCATATTCTATTTAAAATACTTATTTAAAAAGGTTAAGCAAAAAAAAAAAATCCCTTCAACACTTCAGTGGAGGATCACTGCTATTACTGCAAACCGTGTACAGTTTATCGACTACTGCTTGGACCAAAGCTGGGTGTTTTTGTCAGAACATTACCGATCACATCGTTACAGCAATAACTTTGAGTACTGAGGTAAAATATTATAACCGGTACTTAAACCATTAAATTAAAATGTTACAGTAATTGGGTTTTTCTTTTTTTTTTTTTGTTTTGTTTTTTTAAATACTTAACTTGTACGTGAGTGACACAAATCCTTTGAAAACAGCAGTTGGTTGATTGAAAGCCGGGAACTAAAATTATCGCACTATTGAATGTCTGGTTCCTACTGAGATATGTTCCTCGGCTTTACAGAAACAGAGGAAACAAAGAAAAAAAAAACCAACAGAGCTAAATGATTATTAAAGATATCACAACTTGCTGTAATTATTCTTTTAAAATAAAAAAAAAATTGTATAACACTGAATCCGACTTGCTTATGAAGGTACAGAAATTATACATCAGAGAAAAGGTGTGCAACGTGAAGTGGACGTCCGTGACTAGAGAAGTTGAAGAAACCTGGTGTGCATTTATATTAAAGATTAAATAAAACATACTATAATCAATGTTCACGGGATCATTTACCCTTTTCTCAGATGCCCTTTAATTTCCCTTCTTACCCCTGTATTTCCTTTAAATTAAAAAAATAAATATACGCAGCTCATTCTAACAAAGAGTTCACAATAAGAGTGAGTAACAAACCAAAAAAGGTCGAGCTGACGAGTGAGCCAGTGAAGTTAATGAGGTTGTGGCCAAAACATGATAAAGTAACAAAGGGTTGTTTAGTCTAAAAATAGTTACAACGAGGGCAACTGGACGAAGAAGTTTTTTTTTTTTTTTAAAAGACGTTTTACCTCTCATCCAAGAGGCGTCTTCAGTTCAGTTTTAGTCTATTTGTCATTTTAAATGCAGTCAGTTGTGTTTGTACTGTCAGTTGATCACACCGTGGTCTAACAGTGAGACAAATCATATCTGTTACATTTCTGAACATATGTTTTAAGTTCAACAATTGAATTCACATAAAGGTAGAATTTTATTTTTGCTAAAAAAGGGCGTGAAAAGACTTTTATATTTCATAGAAGTTGGTACGCAGTCTGAAAAGAAATTACGACAACAAAAGTTGTTACAAAAAGTTGAAAGAAATATCTTTTGAGGAGACAGTGCTTTCAACTGAAACTGTGCTACTGGCGTAAAAAGCTCCGCTCACTTTCTGTACAGTTGGCTGTGTTCAAGAAAGTTTAATTTTATTCTTTATCTTCATCAGTTTTTTTAATGTTTCTTAGTTTTTTTGATTGTCCGTTCTCAGTTTGAAGAAGTTTTCTTTAAAACAGAAATATTTCTTTCCTTTTGGACTGAAGTTGCTCGCCGTCTTTATCGGGACTACAAACCCCACAGATCTGTGCCACATACTGTATATAATATGTGGACTGAATATTTATTAAAACTCAACCTAAAGAAGTATTATTATTAAGTAATATTTGTTGTTGTCTGTAAAAAATGGTATCGGAGCGACCCTAAGACCTAGAATCAACAGTCCATGGTTTCCTCACACAATTAAACTGTACTGTATGAATAACAGACCAAAGCATGTGGCACACTAATCATGGGTCACATGTTTAAAATTTGAAATAATCTTTTGATTAGTTTTGTAGATCAAGGTTTGTCAGTGAACAAAAATGTGAGAATGTTCTTTGTCCTTCTGCCCAGATTCAAGCCATTTCTAGAAGGCGCACCAACACTTCCTAAAATGGTGTTCATATTCATGTTCTATATAGACTTCAAGAGTACTGCAATAAAGCATTTTAAACTACACATTTGGCCACTAGAGGGCACTGTTAACAACCAGCAACCACAAGTCATTAGACAATAAAGATTAAAAAAAAAACAAAAAAAAAAAAAAACAAGCTTTAGGGGGGAAAAAGGCCATTGAAGATACACACACAGACACGACGTTGACTAGGACTGATTGGTTTTCAGGTGGACTCGTGTAAAGACTTGAGGTCCAAAAACACAAATGACAAACTTAGTAGTTGACCGATTAGTACCAGAGGCAACAAACAAGAAGTACAGTATAACTTCCATTCATCCAAGTCATTTCAGGAGGTATTAGCTTAGGTAAAGGTATTCTAGAAATCCGTTAAAAAAATAAATAAATCAACTTCAGTAATATGTATGTGTTGACTTGAACGAACACGCCGACAGATTTGACTCTTCCTGAAAATACAAACGCTCAGTGTTCCTGTGTATGTGTGTGTGTTTTCTTTGTTTTATGTTTTGTTAAAGTTTGTTGCAAATGGCACTAACTGCATTCGGGGTGGAACGTTTCACAAAAGTCACGGTTCAGTACATACCTCGGCATTGAGGTCACAGTTGTGTGTGTTTTTAGGTTCAGTGAGGAAAAGTGGCGGTGCCTGCTTGGGTGCACTCATTCCTGAGAAAATCCCTTTGATTTCACACACACACACATACACACACACAAATAACAATAATAATAAAAACAAAAAAATACTAATGAACTACAGGAGCATTGTGACAACAGTCTGTTCCACTGGTAAAACTCAGAAATGGTGCCCTATGATGAAGCTTATTGCCGTAAAAAAAAAAGGAAATGAAAGAATCTAGTTCACGCAAGGAAGACAAGAGTTGTATTAGTAAGATTAATCAGGAAAAATAAATAAAGTAGTGATCATAATAATAATAACTCCAATATAGAATTTCTTTTTCGCACTCAGACACTCGCGGTGGGCAACCATGTGTGGATTTATGTCATTAAATAAATCCTTGTCCAAAAAGGTTACACTCATTGCTAAAAACAATACTGCTGTTCATCTAAAGGCAAGTGCACAAAATGGAGCATCTTGAGTATATATGTGTGTGTGTGTGTATATATATAAGTATATATATATATAACCACATATATATATTAACATATATATATGTATATATGTATATATATATATATATATAAAAGGGAGATTAAATAAAAGGTGTATTAATGCGACTTACAGAGTGTCTCTTCACAAGACTAACAGATGAGGTTTTTCCTGAATCACGAGCACTGGAAAATATCAACCACCCACAAAATGGCCGACACTTTGTGTATATTTACTAGCATGCGAGGCTGAGCTGTGCCATCAAGTACCAACCGACAATATTTGATTGATTAATTCACTGTCTGTTAATTCCTTGTTGGTGCAGC